TTGCCTTGCCTTGCCTTGCCTTTCCCTGCCTTGCCCTGAACTGTCCTGTCTTGACTTGACTTGCCTTGCCCTGCTCTGCCCTGCCCCGCCATGCCCGTTCTGGCCTTTCCCTTGCTTTGCCTTGCCTTGCCTTGCCCTGCCCTGCCTGTTCTGGCTTTTGCCTTTCCTTGCCTTGACTGGCCATGCCTTGTCTTGCCCGTCCTGATCTTGCCTTGCCTTGCCTTGCCTGGCCCTGCCATGCCCTGCCCTGCCCTGCCCGGCCTGGTCTTGCCTTGCCTTGCCTTGCCTTGCCCACTCCTCCCCTGCTCCTACAGCTGGGATGGCGCCATCTCATCTCCTGACAGCTTCTCCTCCCTTCACAGCACGCACCCACAATGTGTTTCAAGCCAACACTAAAACAAGATTGCAAAGTCAAAGAACACGGAACTGCACGCAAAGAGCAGCCATGGGAGATGCAGCCTCCCAAGGGAGGGGTCTCCTCTGCACTGGTTACTGCAGGGCTCTCGCTCCTTAAATAGCCCACGCTCAGCATGGGGCCCCCGTCACAATGGGCAAATCCACAGCGACCGCCACGGGTTTGTGATGGCGGCAGCATCGTGCCCATGGCCACTGGGCAGTCAGGGGTGCTCCGGGAGTTGCTGCAGGGGAACCAGCCTCTGCCCAGCCGGCACGGGGAGGTCCCTCACGGGCTGCTCTTCCTCAGTGCCTTTGGTCCGGAGGTGGAGCATGGGAGGGGTCACAGCTCAACGTGGGCCATGGAACAGGGCGTCACGGCCACCTACGAGAAGTGGAGAGGGACCGACATTGGCACAGCAGAGAATCATGGAATCCCAGATTGGACTAGCTGGGCTGGAAGGGACCTTTAAGCTCACCCAGCTCCAACCCCCAAAGCCACAGGCTTCCACTAGAGCAGCTTGCTCCACGGCCCTGTGTCTCTGTGCACTCCCAGGGCATCCTGGGGATACCCCTAGAGAATCCCAGAGAATGCCTGCAGCACCTCCAGAGCACCCCATGGACCCAGTCAGAGCTCCTGCATCACAATGACCTTGGGGACATGGAGACCACAGGGGTGGTTGATTCTGGAACTCCCCATATTCAGGTGTGTGAGGCCACAGAACCCCACAGAACCCTCCAGCAGAGGCACCGGGAGGCGACAGCTGCCCCACGGAACACAAGCTACCGGTGGAGGAGGCAAGAGCAGCTCCTCTGGTGGTTCCTCTCTTGGTGTCTCAGAGCCGGTGACTCCTGTGGACACAGGAGCGTGGAATGAGGTGGGTGGCGATGGTGATCTTGGGGTGCTGTCAGAGTTGCCAGAACACCTCAGGAGACTTTCCCAGAGTGGCTGCTTTGGACTTGGTGTGTGAGTTGATCTGGCTGAGCCGGCAGTGGAGAGCTGTGGCTTCCGAGGCATGATTCTGGGATCTGCCCTCATTTCTTGTGGGGAGAACAAGGGCCTGTGGGGATGGGACAAGGGCAAAGGGCTTTAACATGACAGAGAGGGGAGATTGAGAGGTGATCTTAGGAAGTTGTTCCCTGTGAGGGTTGTGTGACAGTGGCTCAGTGTGGGTGATGGGCTAGATATAGTTAATAAAAATGGATCCAGGCATTATCACCCTGGTGTGGCTTAAGCCTTGAGAACAGTAAAGAAAACACCAGCTGGTAATGCCCTGGTTGGGCTTAAGAGCCTTTGGAATGAGAACAATGAAGAGCCTTTGGTAAAGAGAACAATGAAGCATCAAGATCAGTTAGCAAAACAAAGCAGGCCGTTTGCAAGATAAAGCAGGATGTGCTTTTCAGAAACAGACCAAAGGATTTAAATATCTGTAACCCTCAGGAGTTTCCCTGAATCTGGATGACAAGGAAGTAACAGAGTGGAAAGTTACTACTGAGCACTTAGTAGACTATAAAAGGGATACCAGATCCAAAATAAATGTCTTCAGATTTCGCCAGAACTGGAGTCTGTCTTTGATACACCACAACACAGGGTACCCAGAGAAGCTGTGTCTGCCCCATGGCTGGCAGTGTTCAAAGCCAGGTTGCACACAGGGGCTTGCAGCAAGCTGCTCTGGTGGAAGGTGTCCCTGCTCAGGGCAGGGGTTGGTGTGAATGAGCTCTAAGGTCCCTCTCAACCCAAACCAGGTGGCAGCCCATGATGCTGTGGGCTTGCTGGCAGGTGAGCGCTGGGCCTGGCTCTTGCCCTGGATTTTTGGCCACTGCAGTTTGTGCTGCATGTGAGGAGCGATGTGGGAAGAGGCTCTGTGCTGGCTGAGGTGACATGGTCATGCTGGGTCCTGGGCTTCCAACCCAGGAACCCTGTGGGCAGGGGCTGGGGCTTTGTCACTGGTGTCATTGCAAGCAGGGCATTCCCTATCCAAAGAGGTTCTGTTGTTCCTTGCTCCCTTCCCGCTTCTGCCTAGGTCACCTCGTATCTGCAGACCAGCACCACTGCCTGTAGCACCCTCAAAGTGAACCTCACCCCACCATCACCACAGGCCATGCCAAATGAAACTGGGGACCCAAAAGCCTGGACTACCCCTGCCCCAAACTGGAGATGCCCCAAAAGAGCTGCTCCCCCCCCCCCCCCAAAGACACCAGCCCCAAAATGCTCCTTGTAGCCCCCAAACCACACACCATGGGGCACGCCTATACCCCACCCATTGTGGCATCAGGGAACTGAGGTGGGGGGGGGGCAACCCCAGAGTAGGGGTGCCTAATTTGGGGTGTCCCCCCTAAAAGAGCCCCAGGCATGAGGTCTGGTGGGGGATGAGCTGGAGCACCTGCAGCAGGCACTGGGAGCACTGGGATACTGAAACCCCAGCAGTATCTGGGGCCATAGTGGCCTATATTGGTCTGTACTGGTGCAAACTGGTCCGTACTGCTCCATGCTGGGATGTGTAAATTTGCGGCCAATACCAAGTTCGGTGTGAGCGTTGATCTGCTGGTTTCTGCTTGGTTTCTGACATTGCTCAGGTGGAACTTTGACATCATGTAGTGTTTCCCACACTGCTGGTGCTGCTTCCCCTACCTCTATGAAGGAATCTCCTCTGATGAAGACATCATGTATATTATGGCACATTTTCACCTTGTGAGGAAGTGAGACCTTGTGTGGGTTTGTGGTGTTCATGGGAGGGAGCTGAGTCCCCTTCCAGCCCCAGGGCTACAATCCCAGGAGGAGATGCCTCAACCGACCAGGCTGAATCCCTTTCTTCAGCAGGGGTAAAGGACATCCCAGCCTCTCCTGGCCTAGCTGTCCTGTCTGATGATGGGACAAGAAAGAGGCTGCCCAAAGAAGTGGTTGTGTCACCATCCCTGAAAGTATATAAAAGACATGTTCTAAGGGACACGGTCAATGTGTTGTCTTGCCAGTGTTCGCTTAATGGTGGACACAATGTTCTTAAGGGTCTTTTCCAACCTAAATGATTCCAAGATTCTACAAAATCTTGTTGTTCAGACCAAACTCTGTCTCTCATCAGAGAAATGGCACTGCAGGAAGGCAGTGTGTCTGCAACTGAGGGAGGGAAGATCAGTGCTTGCTTCAGGCTGTTTCCCCATGTGTTTCCCTGGAGCCCCAGGGAGCCCTGGAAGGAGCCCGGGGGGGCAGAGGCAGAGCCACCTTGGGCTGGGACTCTGCTGTTGAGCTGGGACCGAGGGGAGACCTGCGAGACACAGGGAGCTTAAAGGCACTTGGCAGTGGAGGATGCTGAGGAGGAGGAGGAACCTTCTGAAGGAGAAACCTTCCCAGCCCTGTTTGTGGTAAGGCACTGGGTGCAGGGCAATGCAGCTGCAGTTTCTCTCTGTAGATAAGGAGGAGGATGTGCTGCAGAGCAGGGCTTCCCCCTGCACCATGCAGGGACAGGACAAGGCAGGTCCCTTGTGCCGGGGCTGGCTGCAGGGTGTGAATGTGGGTGTGCAGCCAGGGGTGCCCAGCGCTGCCCTTGCAGCAGGGTCCCTGCAGCCCAAAGGCTGTGTGCAGGGGCAGGGACTCTGCTGCCTGCCAGGGTCAGCACTCGGCCTGCCCGGGAGCTCCCCATGGATCTCAGGGGGAGCTGAGGGGAAAGGAGAAACCCCTGGCAGGGAAGGGAAGTGCTGGGTGGGTGACGCTGCTCCAATCTGCCGTCACTCTGAGAACTTCCTCAGAGGGTCCCTCTGAAAGACACTGAGGCATCATTTACCTGATAGGGAAGGATGCTGAGCTTTGATGTTTTTCCCTCTTGGTGGGCAGGTTGGGCAGTGGGAGCTGGGAATTTACTTCTCTGCTTTGGGGGAGGCATCAAGAGTCTTGAGAGGGCTTGTGTGAGCTGCTCCTGAGCCCTTGCACAGGCAGAGATGCCCCTGGGCAGAGTCCTGCTGCCGGGAGGGGTGTGCAGGGCAGAGCTGAGCACACAGCCCATGGCATGGGCTCTGGGAGCACTGAGAGGGAGCAGAGCTGGGCACAGAGCAGCAGCTCCTGGCAGGAACAGCTCCAGGCAGCAGAGATATGGATGGGCAGGGAGTGGGGGGAAAGTGCAGCCCAGCCCTGGGGAGGGTGCGTTCAGGCAGCTCTCTTGGGGTCTACCACTGGAGGTGGCTGCTGGCTGTGCTCTGCTGCCCACAGCCCTTTGCTTCTCAGCGTGAGAGCTCTGTGGACTGTCCTTTGAAACCGTTCTCCCCTGCTTTCAGCACAGGACAGGTGTTTGTGGGGGTTCTTAAGATCAATTTGTGTGTGTGAAGGCACCTTACAGGCAGTGCAAGTTTGAGCACAGGGCAAGTGGGAGAGGACTGATGGACACTGCAGCTCTCTTGGTTCTGCAAAGAACTGAGACTTTTGGCCTGATGCAATGCTCTTCTGATTGTACCTAGGAAGAAGCCTCAGCAGGGTAATGACATGACTGGTGATGACGCTGAACCTCCCCTCTCCTGCTATTATGTGCTCAGTTGTGAATGTGTAAACTGAACTTCTCTATCTGACATCCCTCCTGTCCTGACCTGTCACAGCCTTTTTCTCCTCTGACACTGCCCCATGCCCAGAGGCAGCAGATGTGCAACGGCAGCTCCATCACCCACTTCCTCCTCCTGCCATTCGCACGCACGCGGGAGCTGCAGCTCTGCCACTTCTGGCTCTTCCTGGGCATCTCCCTGGCTGCGCTCCTGGGCAACGGCCTCATCATCACCAGCACAGCCTGCGACCAGCGCCTCCACACCCCCATGTACTTCTTCCTCCTCAACCTCTCCCTGCTGGACCTGGGCTGCATCTCCACCATTGTCCCCAAATCCATGGCCAATTCCCTCTGGGGCACCAGGGCCATCTCCTACACAGGCTGTGCTGCACAGCTCTTTTTCTTTCTCTTTTTTCTCATAGCTGAGTTTTATCTCCTCACTGTCATGTCCTACGACCGCTACGTGGCCATCTGCAAGCCCCTGCACTATGGGACCCTCCTGGGCAGCAGAGCTTGTGTCCACATGGCAGCAGCTGCCTGGGGCACTGGGTTTCTCAATGCTCTGCTGCACACGGCCAATACATTTTCACTGCCCCTCTGCCGAGGCAATGCTGTGGAGCAGTTCTTCTGTGAAATCCCCTAGATCCTCAAGCTCTCCTGCTCACACTCCTACCTCAGGGAAGTTGGGCTTCTTGTGGTTGCTGCCCTGATTGCTGTTGGCTGTTTTGTTTTTATTGTGGGGTCCTATGTGCAGATCTTCAGGGCTGTGCTGAGGATGCCCTCTGAGCAGGGACGCCATAAAGCCTTTTCCATGTGCCTCCCTCACCTGGCCGTGCTTTCCCTGCTTCTCAGCACTGCCACACTTGTCTACCTGAAGCCCCCCTCCATCTCCTCCCCATCCCTGGATCTGGTGGTGTCAGTGCTGTACTCGGTGGTGCCTCCAGCAGTGAACCCCCTCATCTACAGCCTGAGGAACCAGGAGCTGAAGGATGCTGTGAGGAAGCTGGTGACCAGATGTGTTTCAGCAGATATACACTGCTCGCTTTACCCTTGAAAGGGCTTCCAGTGTAGGTCATGACAGGCCATGTCTGTCTTTCCTGCTTTACATTTGTTTTCCTATTTCAATCTGTGATGATGTTGTCTTCATAGAAATGTCAGTTTTCATCTCCTAATTAAGTTGCCACTCGTGTTGTGTGACCCACAGACTTTGTGTCACTCTGGTCTCTGATTGTATTTAAGGGAAATAAATTATCATGCAGCAACTTCTTCTCTGTGATATGTCCTCACACGGCAGGAATGAAGGGGAATGAAAGCAGCTTTCTGGCTGCTCCAGCTGTGGGATGGCTGCTCTGTGCCTGCAGCAGGAAGAGCTCTTGGGGAGCCCAATGAATGGGGCTGTTGTGCTGGTGTGGGGAGATGGGATGGCATGGGGGGGGTGGGGGTCAGAGCTCTCAGGGTGTCCTGGGCAGGAGAGCAGGGGACACAGGGGTCCCTGCAGGGGACTGCTCTGCAATGGCACAGGCTGGGGCTGCCTGGCTGAGAACAGCCCATGGGAAAGGTCTGGGTGGGCAGGAGCTGGACAGGAGGCAGCAAGGGAGGACAGCAGCATCGTGGGCTGTATGAACAGGAGCACGGCAGGAGAACAAGGGAAGGGATGATCTGGAATCCTTCATCCAGGTTTCAGATCCCCAGTTCAAGAGTGGGTTTAGTAATGAGCTCATGGGGACCTGAGATCTTGGGAAGGGAAGGCTGTTGGGGACTGGCTGCCTGTAGCGGCAAGGAGGACATGGAGAATACAGAGCCAGGCTCCTCACCATGGTGCCTGGTGGGAGGACAAAAGGCAGTGGGGGACAGTGACAGAGGAGAGGTTCAGCCAGGACAGAAGGAAACCTTGTTCCCATCGGCTCAGGCAAGTGCTGCATCAGGTCACCCAGAGAGGCTGTGCAGTCTCTGGCCTTAAGGATTGCCAACTCAGCCTGAATCGAGCCTTGAACCACTTGCTCTGACTCTGCTCCTGACAGGTTCGACCTGAGACCTCCTGGGGTCCCTTCCAACCTCTGTTCACTTCTGATCCTACAATGATTGGCTTATGAAGGGTCACAAAGATGCTCTAAGGGCTGGAACACATCTCCAATGGAAATAGGCTGAGAGATGTGGGTGTTCAGCCTGGAGAAGAGAAGGCTCCAGGGAGATATCTTAGCAATCTCTCCATACCTAAGCAGGGCCTACAAGAAATGTGGAGAGGGGTTTTTGCAAGGGCCTGCAGTGACAGAACAAGGGGGAATGGCTTTATGCTGAAAAAAGGAAGATTCAGCTTAGACATTCAGATGAAGTTGTTCCCTTTGAGAGTGGTGCGACACTGGCACAGGGTGCCCAGAGAAGCTGTGTCGGCCCCATCCCTGGCAGTGTTCAAGGCCAGGTTGGATGGAAGTCAGCTTTGTTCTGAAGCAGTGCTTTGTCCACCTCTGATGTTCACAAGGGATGACAGATGAAATCCAACTTCATTGTAAAGTTCACTACTTGTACTCATGACTCAAGTGAGTCTGGGCTGCACAAGAGAGGCTCAGCATGGCCTTAGAGTCATTTGGACTGTGCTATTTATTTACTGGCATAACACGTTTGGGGGGGGGGGACAGGACTATAAAACATTCTTTGTATGACATAAAATCAGAACAATATTGAAACAGGGAGAAGTTCTCAGCTCCTTATAGCTTAGTGCAGAGCAAGGAGGGCTGCAGTGTCCATCAGTCCTTTCCCATTTGCCCTGTGCTTACAACACTTGTGTATGATGCCTTCACACACAAACTGATCTTAAGAACCCCCACAAACACCTGTCCTGTGCTGAAAGCAGGGGAGCATGGTTTCAAAGGGCTGATCAGGGAGCTCTCATGGGGAGAAGCAAAGGACTGTGCCCAGCAGATCATGGCCAGCAGCCACCTCCACTGCCAGACCCCAAGAGAGCTGCCTGAACGCACCCTTCCCAGGGCTGGGCTGCACTTTCCCCCCACTCCCTGCCCATCCATATCTCTGCTGCCTGGAGCTGTCCCTGCCAGGAGCTGCTGCTCTGTGCCCACCTCTGCTCCCTCTCAGTGCTCCCAGAGCCCATGCCATGGGCTGTGTGCTCAGCTCTGCCCTGCACACCCCTCCCAGCAGCAGGGCTCTGCCCAGGGGCATCTCTGCCTCTGCAGGAACCTCACACCTGGCACTCAATGGATCCATCAGTGGTGAATGGAGAAACATGGTCAGCCCCTGAGGAAAGCCTTGAGAGCTTCTTAGGTCTTCAGTTAGTTACTGGTGGCAATGAGCAGTGTGTAGGGAGGTGAGAGAGGGTGGAGGGAAGTCAGCAAGAAGCAAGGTGATGGTTCAGGGCTTTAACAAATCCTTACAAGCACGACAGAGCCCAGCAATGGAGAGCAGTTGGTGTCGGTAGGTGGAGGAGGAGTAGGTGTTCCTGGAGTGTGGCTGCAGGCCCTGGACAGACCAGAGGCTATCTGAGAACTTTCCCTCATGGGAACATGCCTCAGCGTGGCACATGGGGAATGCCCACTGCTGGGGGTGCCTGAACGCTGCTCATATTGCCCCATGAGCCCACCTTCCTGTCTCCCTCTCTTGCACTACCCAAACTTGCCTGGAATGCAGGATCCATCCCTGAGCCTGGGGAATGCAGGAATGCTCCAGGAGTCCCTGCAGGGGGACCAGCCTCTGCCCAGCCGGCTCGGGGAGGTCCCTCACAGGCTGCTCTTCCTCAGTGCCTTTGGTCCGGAGGTGGAGCATACGAGGGGTCACAGCTCAACCTGGGCAATGGAACAGGGCGCCACGGCCACATACGAGGAGTGGAGAGGGACTGACATTGGCACAGCAGAGAATCATGGAATCCCAGAGTGGGTTAGGGTGGAAGGGATCTTAAAGCTCATTGAAAGCACTACGACAGGTAGGGACATCTTCCACTAGAACAGGTTACTCATGTGGTCACTCCCGGAGCACCCCTGGGTGCACAGTGCCACCCCAATAACAGCACAACCCCCCCCAAACCACCTTGTCCTGCTTCTCCTATGGGATACAGGGTCAGAGCCTCAAAACAGACCCAAAACAGGACAAAAACACCCCAAAAAAAAACAGCCCAAAACCATCTTCTCCTGCTTCTCCTATGAAACGCAGGGTCAGAACCAAAAAACAGCCACACAAACAGGACAAAACCACCCCAAAACCACCCAAAACAAAACCAAAACACCCCCAAACCACCCCAAAACTATCCCAAAACCACCTTATCCTGCTTCCCCTGTGGGATACAAGGTCAGAGCCCCAAAAATGGACAAAAAAAGCCCCAAAGCACACCCAAAACCAGCCCAAAAATGCCTTCTCCGCCTTCTCCTACGGGATATAGGGTCAGAACAGCCGTAGAACAGCCCAAAAACAGGGGAAAACCAGACCAAAACATGCAAAGAAAACCACAAAAAAGGCCAAAATCACCCCAAAATCACCTTGTCCTGCTTCTTCTTTGGAATACAGGGTCAGACCCCCAAAAAGACCCAAACAGGACTAAACAGCCCAAAACAACTCCCAAAACAACCCCAAAACACCCAAAAAAACCCCTAAAACTACTTTATCCTGCTTCTCCTATGGGATACAGGGTCAGACCCCCAAAACAGACCCAAAACAGGACAAAACTAACCAAAAACACCCACAAAACACCACCAAACAACACCAAAACCACCTTGTCCTGCTTCTCCTGTGGAATACAAAGTCAGAGCCCCAAAACAAACCCAATAGAGGCAAAAACCAGGCCCAAACCAACCCAAAACCCAGAAAACAGCCAAAACCACCCCAAAACCACCTTGTCCTGCTTCTCCTATGGGATACCGGGTCAGACCTCAAAAACAGGACAAAAACAGCCCACACCCACACCAAAACCAACTTCTCCTGCTTCTCCTGTAGGATATAGGGTCAGAGCCCCAAAAGAGAGGCATAAAACAGGAGAAAACCCAAAACCACCGAAAAAACCAAAACAAACCCAAACCACACCAAAAACACTTTGTCCTGCTTCTCCTAGGGGATACAGGGCCAGAGCCTCAAAACAGCCAAAAACACCCACAAAACAGGAGAAAAACAGCCCCAAACCACCTTGTCCTGCTTCTCCTGTGGGGTACAGGCTCAGAGCCCCAAAATAGCCCCAAAAGAGAACAAAACCACCCCAAAACATACCAAAAACCATGCCAAAACCACCTTCTCCTTCATCTCCTGTGGGATACAGGGTCAGAGCCCCAAAACAGACCCAAAACAGGCCAAAACCAAAACAAAACAGCCAAAACAGCCCTTCAGAAAACCACAACCACCCCCAAAAACACCTTATCCTGCTTCTCCTGTGGGATACAGGATCCATCCCTGAGCCTGGGGAATGCAGGAACCTCCTGCAGTGGAGGTGCAAAGCTTCTGTGAGACACTTGTGAGTGCGGGCAGAGAGCGGGGTGTGCGCAGCAGAGAGGGTGCTACAGGCAGGAAGCTGTCCCAGATGGAGCGCCCTGTCCCCAGAGCATGGGGTACCTTGCACCCAAGGACACCACCTTTCCTTTTGGCTCTTGCCAAGAAGTTCTCAATCCAGACCATTGTGTTTTCCCACTGCTCTCTCATGGTGCTTTTTTCTCTATACTGATTGCATCACCCATT